GTATAAACCACACTTCCAAAGCATCATGGGATGGCAAAGCCATCACAACACAAAGTGTAAGAGAGGAAACCCCACACCCACCCCGCCCCCCAAAAAAATAAACAAAAACATCCCAGTTACCATGCTTGATTCAGCTCGGGCAACCCCAAAAAGTTAGTCCATGAATCATTATTCCAATACCGCCATCAACCGTCTCAGCAGACTGCTTTTAGCCAATGATTGACATTCTGAGCAACAAATGTTGCGAGAATTGGCACCAGCCAGCCCAGAACTTTAATTCCGGGCTGGCTGAAGAAACACTAACGCAGTCTCGCAGGTGGAGTTACACCTGCAGCAGCTGAAGGGTTCATCATCTCTGTATGTGCATCCTAGAGACAGGTGGGCCAAAGCAGTGAGGGTGGCTTAAATTAAAACAAAGGTTGGATAGTAAAACCAAGACTAAGTTTATGAGCAAGCCCTGTGAAACATGATTAATAAAGTAATATTTTAAACTGCACTTAAATAAGACGGATTAGTGCTAGAGGCATGTGTGGAAAACAGGATCTATGGAAGATACAGAAAATTCTCAAGATCTACACGGATACGATAAGATGCCTCTTAATCATGAAAAAAAAAAAAAAGACGAACTTCAGTGGGACCTCGGTTTACTAATTTAATGCGTTCTCAGGGACATTTCTTAATGCGGAAAATTTGTAAACCGAAATGCGGTTTCCCATAGGAATGCATTGAAAACCAATTAATCCGTTCTGGAGGTCAGAAAAAGGTAAAATGAGCTGGCATGGAAACCAATCTACAATACAAAACACACAGTAAAAGGCATGCAAATGACAAAGCTCAGCTCCCTACCTTTCCACAGCTTGAGAAATGCACCAAAAAGTCCCAAAACAACTGCAAACAAATTTCAGAATGGCTTCAAAAAAACTCTATGCAAAAGCCGCTCCAACCTATAAACCTCGCCGGTGCAATGCATCCTGGGAAAACTTACATTGTAATGTGAAATTTTTTTTGTAAACCGAGGCATTATTTTCAATGGATTTTCATTTGTAAACCGCAAGTTATGTTAACCAAGGCGTTTGTAAACAGAGGTACCACTGTAATGGCAAGATATTGTCTCAGAAGAGATTTGCCTTAGGACTTGAAGGAAAATAAAAATAAAAAATTTTTTAAAGTCAAGAGTGATGGCGCCACTTTAATAAAAAAGGTCTCTCTCTCTCTCTCATTGCAATAAGACTAGACACAAAATAGTACAAGCATGCTTCAATAAAGCCCTCCAAAACATCCCCTCTCCACATCAGAGTTTTGTGAACAATTGAGGCTTGCAGGGAAGGACAGAAAAAACAAGAACAAAAAAACAAAGACTGCAGTGGCTCATGGGAACATAAACCCTGAACAGCATAACTTGCAAATAATGAAATTTTTGAGGGGCATCCAGCATACTAAGTCAGTGAATTTTCTACCCCTAGCACAACAAAAAACAAAAAAAACACAAACAAACAAAGTTAATTCAGTATAGGTTCCCTTGCTGCTGATATATGCAATATGTACAAAATGGCTACCAACTATTTAGAAACAGTTTTCTCCTGCTTATATTTGAGCAATAACACCATTCAAAACTCCCAAACTCATGTGCAGTTGCGATCAAACCTGCCTAAAAAGTACAGACATCATTTGGGATGAATAAAACCACATTCTTTGAAAATGGCATTATGATGGGTGGAGAACACACAAAGCCTACAATGGTCTGTTGCTTTATGAGAAATAAGGGACTAACATGACGTAGGAAATCAAACAAAGCATATTTTTTTTTTTTTTTTTTGCCGAAACTCGTAAGAGTTGGCCATGATCCCTGGCCTATTACTGCCAGTCACATACAATCCAAAATTCCCTTCAGGTCTTCATTCTCCATCCTTTCAAAGGGGCTCAGTTGTCCACAGTTCGCTCTTAAATGGAGTTCTCTTTGCAAACATAAGCTGAAGGAAGGCTCCTTACGACACTGAGCAGTTTCATGTATCTTTGGATCGAACATCTCAAAACAAACAAACAGGGATCTCACTCTATTTAAGGCCTGCTGAACAGTAAATGTCTTGTTGCATAGGGGAGTTTCAATGGACTACACTTACTCCTCTCAAATTTACAGAGAGATATGGTCCAAAATTTAAATTTCTCCTCCACTACACCTCTCAAGCTCAGCGGTACAGGAAACCAATTATAAGTGAATGTCAATGTGGTATCACACAGCTCACCTCCTACACTGCATTCTTCCATCGGGTCTCTAACAAGTGCTGGAGATGTATACAAGACACAGGAATGGTGCTCCACATATGGTGGGATTGTAATTTCATCAAGCCTTTCTGGAAACAAATTTATGTCACAATCGTATAATGGGTGAATCCCACAGCTATGTTCCTAAATAAGGTTACTAGCCATATTTTGTAATTTAAGAAATCTGACAAAACTAATTGCAGCAATGGTTTTCATCCCAGCTTGTGCCCAGTTGATAGCCAAAATGGAAGAAATAAGGAATATAGATTGTCTCAGTGCGACTATTTGGGAGGGAGCAGAGGTTTTTGAACACATTGTTTGATTTTGTGTCCAGCACAGACTGAGAAGAGAGTGTTCCCTTGTCCACTTGCAGCCATCCTTTACAGCCTTATTGGTTTTCATCCTCTTGTAATCTCAATTGCTCTGCACGTTAGAGTTTGCCCTGCTTTCTCTCTTTGTACTTCTGCTTTCGTAACTGCGCTCCTCTTTTCTTCCCTCATAATCTTGCAGTTACTCTTTGTGTCTTCTTACAGTTTAGACTGTTGCTTCTTGGGGAGTTTATTCAGCTATACTTTAGCTAGTGGAGTGTAATACCGGTATGAAGGAAGTATGGATGAGATCTAGATACAAGTCCTTTCAGGATTCACCTGAGAATAATCTGCTATCTATGGGACACGGGCACACCATTTACACTTTGCTCCAGAGAAGGTTAAAGGATCACTAGTCTGTCAGGAACACAAACTTATTCCTGACACTATAGTGCAAAACCCATCATTTAGGTGGCTTGCCCACCAATAAAGTTTAAAACTCACCTTATTTCCAGTTCCACGCGAGTCTGTCGGCACGGGCTCCGCCCCCTTTGTGACATCAAAATGGAGATTTTTAGTCAATCCAATGCTTTCCCATAGGGTTGCCGTTTTGGCCAATCAGGACCTCAGAGAGATGCATTGAATCAATGCATCTCTATGAGAAAATAATTCAGCGTCTCCATGAAAAGCGTGGGGACGCTGAACGGCAGGGCAGCTTACTGTGTAGCCCTGAGCCAGGAAGCCCCTCCAGTGGCCATCTGAGGAGTGGCCGCTTGGAGGTGTCCCTAGGGCAATGTAAAGACTGTCTTTTCTCTGAAAAGGCAGTGTTTACATGAAAATACCTGAAGGGAGCTTTTATACTCACCAGAACAACTACATTAAACTGTAGTTTTGGTGACTATAGTGTCCCTTTAAGTATTTTTCAATCGGATATTTCCTTCATTTCACTGTTTCATGACAAAATGCTAAACAATTGTGTGTGACCATAAGGGCAGAGTTTAGCTTGTTAATTCATCAATAACCATGAGCCCGCAACAATTTATGTACCTGCATGCCTTTGTTTATTTAACTTTCTATAGCAACTGTTTGACAAATGCTTGTTTGCAAAACAAATCTGTTTTTTCTGAACACAATAAGTAAATAAAGATAGTCAAAAGAAACAACCTATATTTATAAATGACGTAAACGGTAAAGCCTTTGAAATTAAGAAAAATATTTGTATTTTATAACTTCGTAAATTAAGTACTGGTAGGTCAGGCTCCTCAAACAAACAATCCCATACGGATATGAGCATAGGTTGTTTTTTGAAGCCTCAATAAATCGATCAGTACGGGAATAAAACAGTCAGCTCTCCTAACGAACAAATCCCTTGACCCACACTGCAATTGCCATTTTCTTTAAGACATGGTTGTTGCACTATCCCTTTTACGCTAGGACACGGCTGTTGTGAAACTAACCGCTAATCTGTTTGGAAGCACCGTTAGGTTCTTTCTAATGTGGTTTTGAACGCAAGGAAATGCACTGACAATACATAACTGCATCTGTGTATTACTACACTCTTGAAGGTTACGTGAATTATTAGTGAGGCTTTGTTGCAAAGAAAAGTTAAAACTAAAGATAAATAAAAACCATATACATCTTAAGGACTGTAGGGTCACACAATTTCCATTTTCTTTCTCTACTATAAAATATTATCCTGTTTAGCTAATGTGGATAGATCTATTTATATAATACTGACCTTTTGTCTCTCCTAACTCCTAAGCCACTTGCCAAAAGGCTGTTTTTTGTTAGATAATGCAAGTGTCTCACACACGCAGGCAGTGCTTGTGTAGCGTATCCAGAACAGTTTATTTTAGGTGTCCCATGTCACAAAATTTAAATCTTTTTGATATTACTTTTTTTTTTTTTTTTTTAAATCTAAAGACATTAAAATGGAACAAACATTTTGGGATTGAAAAAAAAGAAAAAAAAAAAAAAAAAGTCATAGCAGGGATTGACAAGACTTCAAGACTGTTCTGGACTATCAAATAGAATCTTGTAAGCGCATTTATCATTTGGCATAGAGATGAAACAAGCTTGCAACTGCACTGCTTCTTGAAAAATAGGTTCCTGCTAAAGGTACTCAACCCCATCCAGTCACAGCAATCCCACTGTGTAAACTAGATAAGCTATTCAACATTTTTTCTTATTTTTGACATTCTGTATAGTGACCCGCCTTCCACCAGATGCACCAACACATTTTTGTAATCAGGAATGGAAAAAGGTTGGTAACTATGGACCTCAAAGCAAGGTTTACATGTTTTTTTTCTGGCAAGCTCCAAGGATTCA